CTTGTTTAGTACTTTCTGAAGGAATCCAGGCATCATGTCTACGGTCTGCATCACTTGAAAGCAGGCTTGCAGTAAATACATCTTGTTCTGTTGCTGGAGTCAGAAAGGAATCTGGAGAGGGTATGGCATTGCTGATATTAAAGCTATCAGTTGGGGACATATAAACGGGATTTATCATTGCAGAATCGCTGGTATTTCCTGGAGTCTGATTACCAATGCTATCAAATGGATTTGACGTTTTAGTGTTACTGAAGTATTTAAATAGCTTAGACTCATTCTGTCGACTTTTATCACCTGCTGATTCAGATGCTGCAGTTAACTTCATGGGTGGTTTTGGGCTTGTTGGCTTGCTGCCTGTTGATGCCTGCAAGTTGTTTGGAGGAGCTGATATTGCTACTATTCCCATAGCAACATTACCAGCATGGATCAATGTGGTTTGTGAAGGAGAGGAAGGCTCTGCTTCTTCCTCAATACTTGCTTGCTGAAACTTTACAGTGGTTGCCTCTACATCCATGCTGGCATTAGGAGATGTGTCAGTAACAAGCATTGATGTGGTCATGCTCATCATCATGGCAGACTGAGAAGGGGTAGTCGGGGTTGGCACAGGTAGATTATTTGCAGGTAAATTAGTGGTAGAAGCAACAGCCTCTTGGTTCTGTGGAGTTAGTGGAATGTTATGATGTGCAGGTGTGGAAAAGCTCTCATGAGATGGATGCGGTGAGTGAAGATTAGTAGGGTTAGGCTGAGGTGTTCCAGGACCCCCTAACTGAGGATCAGGGGTCACGGAAACAGGCGATTGGTACGGTGATCCTAATGATACATCCCTTTGACTTGGAGATGCATTCCCAGAGGTTGTTATATTGGCCCCAGGACTTGAGAATGAATTAGCCTCTGGAGTGTAAGTCAGTTGCTGATTGGCTATGGGGGTTATATACGGAGAGCTGATCTGTTCACTGGTCGCTGGAAGTGCAGGTGCTACTCCGCCCACCTGATGGCTTGGGAGTATTGGCTGGGCATCCTGAGGGGTTCCTGAGAGCTGGTCAAAGATGCTACTGGAACTCTGGTCGAAGTAATTACTTAGTGTGGGTTTTGGATCTGGTTGGTCAGACATGTCCTACTCTAATATTTCAATCTAGAAAGAAAGGAGAAGAAACTGATGAGAACATGCATTATCAATTTGGTCAGAAAAAGTTTGAGATTTTATGATCACATATACTTCAGCAAAAACAGCAAGTACGAGCCACTTTTGTGCTTGAGCATTCACAGCAAGCATGCTTTCATAACAAAGGGTCTACAGTTCTACAACTGAAAAGGCAATTGCATCATATATTAGTTTGGAATAATTTTCATTATAAACATTTCATATAATTCCTAATTGTATTCAACTGCAATTTATCATTATTATTATTATTATTATTATTATTATTTTTTTTTTTTTGGGGGGGGGCATCTATACAAAAACAATATATAAAATTACAAATAGCTGACAATTACAAAGCCACAATTTTACTAAATCAAAAAGACAATAAGCATTACAAAATTCAAATATAAAATATCTGATAAAGACCCCATTTGAACACCTAAAAGAGGGTTAAAATGTAACTAAAAACAGTACATGCACAAAAGAGTAAAACAAAGTTACGAAAGTATAATCACAAGCAAGTAATATCTGAGAAAAAATACCAGGATTAATCAAAACTTTCTTGCCAATTATGGCTTTCGGGTTAAATAAACTTGGTTACAATAATGAATCTTTTACTTCTTGTCCTCGCTGGCCACATGTGAAATCAAATTAAAATCAGTGATGTGCTTGAGCCCCTGCCTTTTTTTTTCTGAATAAAAAGTGTCCTGTCATTTAAAATCAGGGAAAGTACGTACACTCTTGGTTTGAGGTTTGAGTCCTCACTCTTCTGAAAGGCTGTGCACACCACTGACTAAACTATATGCTGCTATTGATACATTAGGCACAAGAATACCCAAAATGTCAAATGAAGGTAAAGAACCGTAAATAACTGCACAACAATTACAAAGTAATGAATTAACAATAAAAGTAAAACTTTCTGCACTGAAAGACAGAGAAAGAGAGAAATGCATATAAAAGTAGAAAGAAGGCATGCAACTAACGACACAAAAAAAAGGAAAGAGATATAAATTTCATAGTATTAAAGCAAAAGTTCACAAAATTCAGACCAAAAACTTAATAAAACATGTGATATAAAAATGATCTAAATTGAATAAACACTAATAGAAATTGCTAAATAAGCTCTGTGAATTACATATCAAAAAAAGCTAAATGCATCTTCAAATTAATGCATGCCCTAGTTACTATCTAGTGTGTCTCTGCCATCATATGCTACTATCAATTATGTATAAAAAAGATAATAGTGAATACAAAATAGTGAAAATCAATAATAAAGATTTTCCTCTCATACTCATGCCAACTAAACTGTGATGCATAAAAAAATAAAAAAAATTATGAAGAAATCTTCCTAGTTTACCCTAAGTCTTTAGAGTCCATCCTTGTGGAGATACAGGAATCCCATGTATGTAACGAAGACAAGTATTAAGAAATGGGCAAAGATCGACACATGAATTTTCACTTCATTCATTAAAATATATTGTAACCACACAAATCTAGAGCACGTGGGAAACTAGAGAGAAGTTGAAAGAATGCATACTCACACTGGAATGGACTAACTGTTTGGAAGGGCTGCCCCTCTCAATTCAACACTGGCACACTGTTATTACAAGTGCATAACTGTCGTCCTCCGTTCCTGGAACTGGGTCGGCACAGGGACGTTGGATTCTGTTGAACCTGAACAGAAGCCTATTGTGTTATTAATTTTGCAGACTTTATCTTGTCAACACAAAATACTTTATATCAAACAAAACTGGGTCCATTCTTTTCTCCTCTTTGACTTAAGTACATAATACATGATGGCAGATTTGTGGTCATGAAGTTTAGAATCATTTTACCTGTAACTCAAAAATTAATTTTTTGACCAACAATTCTCCACTCAGAAATAAAAATTTAAGTATGAAGAATAAATATGATCAAAATAGAATCAAATATATAAGGAATGATCAACTGATGCCTCACATCTTCAGATATAATGATTTCCTTACAAGTTTACTCTTTGCAAAACTGATCAGTTAGGTATTGGCATTTTATCTTTATTTTCAATGGAAGACAGTATTTGGATATTTAGTGTGTAAACATGATTATGAACAATTTAGATTTTATTTTTGAACCTTTTATGTATATTAACTGAATATATATCTGCTTGGTAAGTATTCTTTAGTTTTCTTATTCTTTGTTAACTATCTTAAATGAAACACTTCTTTATTTATCAATTTTATTTTCAAATTTTGTATAGTAAATAATAACAAATATATATGTATAAATATATATATATAACATGAAAACAACAACCTTCAGCAATGAACCTAACAAAAAAATAAACAAATAAAAAAAATAAAAACAAAAAAGAATAAAGAAAAGAACAAGAAGAAGAAAAAAGTACATGAAAAGTATGAGCAAGAGAGAAAAAAATCAAATATCTACAATCAAAACCTTTTGTTCTGAGCAAAATTTTATGGGAATGAATCTTTAACTGGAACTGGTATGCTGTTTGTGAACATGGTGCAAAATTATCACTTAGACACAGGTAAATCAACAGACAGATAAATCACAAACTAATTCCATAACTTTTCACCGTGTATGGATATATCTAATAATGCCCTATACACATGTGAAAAAAGGGCTAAATGCATTAAGGCTCAAAAGATAATTATCTGAATAATCCAACTAGTCAGTATGTGTCATCATTGGACATCCCATATCAATCTTTCTTACAAAAGAAAAATGTATTTATATATGTGCATACACACGAGAGAGAGAGAGAGAGAGAGAGAGAGAGAGAGAGAGAGAGAGAGAGAGAGAGAGAGAGAGAGAGAGAGACACACACACACACACACACACACACACACACACACACACACACACACACACACTCTGTCCCTACCTATACATGGGAAAGAGCCATATTAAGAAAGAAATTGAATCCTAATGATTTGAACTCTTCAGGAGTTCTTTATCAGTCAAACAAATACTTGTCTGATTGATTGGGAACTCTGGATTAGTGTGAAACATTTTGGTAATTTAATTTCTTACTGTGGCTTTATTTCCTTTTTATCTTTGTGTATACTTTACTGTGCTTGTGTCTATATACATACATACATACATACATAAATACTTAATATATATATATATATATATATATATATATATATATATATATATATATATATATATACAAAATATTATATATATGCACACACACAACAATGTGTATATATATATATATATATATATATATATATATATATATATATATATATATATATATATATATATATATATGCACACACACAACAATGTGTATATATATGTATATGTATATGTATATATATATATATATATATATATATATATATATATATATATATATATATATATATATAATAATAATAATAATAATAATAATACACACTGTCTGTCTGTCTGTATGTATATATCTATATAATATATATATAATATATGTCTGTGTGTGTGTGTGTGTGCGCGCATATCATTATATATATATATTGTGTAAATATATATATTATATATATAATGTATTATATATATAATGTTTTATATATATATGTATACTCACACACAAACATACACACACATGTATACATATATGTGTATATATATATGAAAAAAAAAAAAAAAAAAAAAAAAATGTATACATACCTATATATACATAAATACTTATATATATACATACCTATATATATATACATAAATACTTATATATATATATATATATATATATATATATATATATATATATATATATATATATATATATAAAATATATAAAATATATAAAATATATAATAATATATAGAATATATATAAGATATATAATAATATATAGAATATCTATCTATCTATATATGTATACATGTGTATATGTCTATGTATATGTATGTATGTGCATCTATATATGTATATATATATATGGAAAGTATAGAAGTGTAATTGCATAACTACCTTTGTCTTGCTCTTTATGCTTTCAAAATGTAATTTCAATATTTGAGGTATATCTAACCAGAATTTTAAATTATCACTAGATGATCACAACTCATGATTATTTAACTTCCATACTTATCATGCTGCACAATCAGATCTTTTAAACAGGCATAAAACACCGTTCTGAACATTTCATATGAAAACTTTTGTGTGTAGTTTGTAGCTTACAAAGTCAATAAATATTCTTACATAGGCAAAATTCTATGCCTTATTAACAAAGACATACTGTCTAGCTTCAAGCAAGCTATATGTGTATCACGCAGAAAACTCAAACATTTATCCATCACCAAATTCCTTCCCATTCAGAACCACTAAAAGAAACAAACTAAGTCAAGCTACCCCCATGTGCAATCTGTTTGGCTAGTCTATAATGCTTATAACACAACTCTATGATAACAAATTACTATGTAAAAAAAGTAAGAACTCCTGTTGTGATTTCCAGTAATCTGAAAGTAATCTGTACTTCCTCTACAATCAGTACCTTTGGGAATAAATAATATCACACCTCTAATTATCACATTACACTAGGCACACATACTGTTTATCATAAAAAATTTAACCATAAGCATCTGTTCAGATTATATTGTCTTAGTATGTATAATCTTATATCTGGGTTTTCCATAACATGGTCAGCCAATATATTAAGAGTATAGGAATGTTTACTCAAGCTTTAGAAATTCAACCATCACAGGAGATAAAACTATACTCATTTATGCACTATTAAATATAAATTAGAAAATACCATAGCTCTTTTCTATATTTATCAACCATCTGTACCATTTGTGCTATAGATACACACTCACTCTATGATCTACTGGTTAAAATCATGAAAGTTACTATGGCCATGAACCTGATTCATATGCTCTGCAAATTTCTGAGCGCAGTCAGAAGCAAAGTCACGCTTACAAGACTCGGTATGGGCCAATTTGTAGAGTACAAGGAATACCAGACAGTGAACTAAGGCAGTGTACATGAAAGTTACAGTCCGTGCTGTTTTGTTGCCCAGTATAAACCTCCCCATTGACAAGGTCACTTTCTCAAATGGGCTAAGAGCTGAATACCGACGTAACTTCTCTTTACGTGAGAATGACGAGAAGGGATCTAGCGCCTCTTCGTACTGGCTACTGTATCGTGATTCTGCTGCAGAATCTTCACTGCTTTGTCTCCCTTGGTAAGACTGGAGAAATCTAATCTTTTCATAGAGTTTCAGGTTATCAGCACGAAGATTATCCAATTCATTTTGAAGAAGCACCACTTGCTGACTTTTTCCAGTCAGTTCAGCTTCTAACTCCTCATTACGCTGACGGAAACGCTCCCTCTGAGAAGAAATGATTGGTAAAATGGATTCTGCAGCTGATGAAAAGTCTGGTGGAATTCCCCCTGGTATTGGAGTTGGTGTATCAGTGACTAAAGACTGAGGGGTGCTGAGAGGAGGGGTGCTACTAGTAGAAGCCCTAACTGCCTCAGCTACTATCTCTGGCACTGAAGAACCTTCGCCTTCACCACGGTATAAAGAGGAAAGAGTCTGGACTGATGAGAGGTCAGATTCAAGGTGTAATATCAAATCCTTTTGTTCAGCTGCAAGAGAACGTAATGTTGTGAGCTCCTGTTCGTACTCTACCGTCTTCTTATTCATACTATTATTCATTTGTTTTAATGCAGTATTTTCATTCTGCAAAACCTTTGTCTTCTCTAACAGGAGCACTTCTAGAGGTTTTGAGGAGGTTTCAAGACTGCTCTCTTCTCCACCATCCCTAGAAATGGTACTAAATTCAACAGATTTCATGATACTCAGTTCCCTCTTGATCTCATCATAATCCCTTTGCTGATGAACTTTGGCTTCCAAGGTAGCAATCATATGAGTATTACTTTCCTGATTTTCTTCAAGGGCTCGAATCTGGTTAGAGGAACTTTCCCTAAGAAGGTTCAGGGAGTTCTGCATCTGCTTGATATCTTCCACCAATTGGGATATTTCCTTGTCCTTAGATGCCAATTCTATCTCAAGAGATGATCTTGCTAAGGTCTCAGCAGACAGTTCAACTTCACTGACAGAAGTAGTCATGACAGACATGTTTTCTGTCAGTGAATTATGAGCAGCAGTTAAACTCTGAAGCTGTTCCTTGAGCTGTGTAGATTCTCTCTCGGCTATGGTGGCTCTCTGATTTGCCCGCTCAAGATCATTCAGCAGGATGTTAATTTCATCTGACCTGGCAAAATTTGACTCTTCAGACTTGCTCTTCAGCTCAAACAGTTCTGACTGGGTCTGGTCCAGGGTGGACTGGAGAGTCTGGGCTCTTGATTCAGCATCCTGCAACCTCCTCATTACAGATTCTTGTGTCTCCTCTAGCAGTCTCTCCTTCTCAGCATACTGACGGGAAAGCTCTCTTTCCATCTCCTTAATCTTAGTCTGCACATTGTTATCCATAAGATCTTCATAATTCTTTATCTTCTCCTTGAGTGCTTTGATGGTAACATCTTGGTTTCTCACTTCTTTAAACTCTTCATTATATTCACGCAGTGTTTCTCTCAGATTCTTGTTTTCAATTTCAAGGTCAGCAAGACGGCCTATCTTTTTCTCAAGGCCAACGCAGTACTCAAGGGTGGGGAGTGGATCGCTAATATCAATCACCTTCTTATACACATTCAAAAATGCAGTCTCCACAAACTTGCTCCTTTTATTGAGGTTATCAATTTCACTTTGAAAGCTCTTCAGCAATGGGGCCACGTGCTTTCGTACATCTTCTGGGGAGTTCTTCTTGAACTCTCTGGAGAGTTCCACCAGCTTCTTCCTGGAGTGCTCTGACTCATCTTGACGAGTAGCAAGCTCTGAGGCTGTCTCGTCCAGTTCCCTTTGTACATTGTGCAACTCGAAGCTCTTCCAGGCTGCTATGACTGCCTGTACTTTTACTGCCATTGCACCTTACAACCATCCAGCCAGTAAAGAGGAAAAGCTCTTGTTACCTGTTGGCAAAAGAGAACCAAATGTTAGCAGTTTTACTCAAAGCTCTCTGAAATAAGCAGTTACAGGTAAGAAAAAAAATCCTCTGGCTGGCAAAAAAGTGATGTTCTTTCGAGTTTGCACCGTAACATGAAGTGATAATACTCATTCAGAGAACTTTAACACATAGCTAACAATTGGTCTCAACCAAGCAACACTTAACACTTCCAAAGAAAAGATATATAAAATAAATGGCAGAAACTCAAATAATCATAATCACTTTTTTGCTATAACAATAAAAAGAATATCATACATATACACACACACATACATAAATTTACATATACATCCACACCATACACACATACAGTCACAGACAAAAATAATCATCAATCTGCTTTTTGCTTCTACATCTGCGAGGAAAGGAAACAATTGAGAGAGAAGGGTCTCTATTGTGTGGTGTTGTGTGTTTTGTCTTTTTGCTAAATTCAGATCATGTGCTAAAGGATGTCTAATAATCAATTGGGGTAATATATGTCGGAGAAAAAGCATTTCATAAGTGGTGATATCATGGAATAGCTAATGCCATGACAACTGACTGCTGTTGAATTAGATATTTGGGTTTATCTAATAATCTGGCCTATGAGAAAATTAGTTTGGATGGCATTTGAATCAAAAAAGCTTAAGAAATTTTCACTACCCTTCATTGTTATTGTTGGCTAATTTTCCAAATATTCACGCTATATTGACTTTCAAGGGAACTTATTTTATGAGATTTTCACGCATGCACACAGACAAACACACAAACACACACACAAATACATACATACATACATACACACACACACACACACACGCACACACAATATGTGTGTGTGTGTGTGTGTGTGTGTGTGTGTGTGTGTGTGTGTGTGTGTGTGTGTGTGTGTGTGTGTGTGTGTGTGTGTGTGCAAGTATATATACTTTCTTGGACTATTACAATATGGGTGTCAGATTATTGTATATATATGAATATGTATACGTATATATATGCACACACCTACACACATACTCAGACATATATATAATATACATATATTTTATATATGTATATATACACATATATGTATGTATATATATACATATATATATGTATGTATATATATACATATATATATATGTATGTATATATCCATATATATTTATATATATGTATTTATATATTCTTATATATATAATATACATATATGTATAATGTATGTACATTTACCCCCAAAGAACTAAGTAAAAGAAAGACAACAGATAAGAAATGAACTAAGGGAGAGAGGGAGAGGGAGGGGGAGAGGAGAAGAGGGGAGGGAGAGGGAGAGGGAAGGGGAGAGGAGAAGAGGGAGAGGGAGGGGGAGAGGAGAAGAGGGAGAGGGAGGGGGAGAGGAGAAGAGGGAGAGGGAGGGGGAGAGGAGAAGAGGGGGTGGAGAGGGAGAGGGAGAGGGAGAGGGAGGGAGAGAGAGATTGAGGGAGGGAGGGAGAGAGGGAGGGAGAGGGAGAGAGTGAAGACTGGAAAGGAATTAGAATGGAGGAGAGAGGTAGAGATAGGATGGTTCGGGTCGCAGAGCAAAGAACAATTTAGGAATAGTCAGAAAGAGAGAAACCTCATCGGTGTGCTTCTTGTTCGGGATTACATAGAATGAGGACTAGTTTGAATCTGAGTTGATGAGGCATGCGACCAAGCCGTTTTCACAGCCTGGCCAGTCCTTGTCACAGACAGGACAATCAGTTGCGGAGACAGAAACAGTTCCGGTACAAATATTAAATGAGGAGTGAGGTTGGATAGATATAGGTTTGCTAATGAGGTCAATCAGGGTAGATAGTGCACAACCTTGGGACTCAGGTGTAACTGTGACAAAGCGTGAATGATCGGAATGACTGCTTGGCTGGGCCAAAAAAGGGTACTTAAAAGGTTTGCAGAAGAAGGGCAAAGTTGGAGTGCTGTGGAGAGACACATTACTGTAATAAGGGTGGGCGGGGTAGACGGTGAAGAAGACTGCAGTAAGAAATAAAGTGGAGGATGTTGGGAGAGAGGAAGGGGTATATTCTGAAGGCTGAGTAATGACCTGGGTGGGTGATATGATATGGATGAAGTTAACAGCAAACATCAAAGAGGGGGTAGTAGTATCAGTGGTTGGAGCCCAAATGAAAAGAGAAGTATGGGTCAGGAAACCAATGGAATCAAATTTCGATAGACTAGTTGATGAAGGGACAAGCCTTAATGCCCCTAAAAAGGGTAAAAAATCTTAACCATTGGCCATGGTGAGCTTGATATATGTGGGGAGAAGAATACAGTGCCCATGGATCCTGGAGGCTGTTCAAAACTGACACAAAGCCAGCCTGTCATCCTTTCAGCATGGTTCTCACATCTTAGGATGTGGACAAGGTAGGGGTGATCCCCTACATTGGGCCACAGTCTCTGTCTCTTAACCCCCCCCCCCCCATAATAATAATGAACAAGGGATTAGGGGGTAATGGGTTTCAAGTATTCTTTTATCATTCAAAAATCTTTTAAGATTCTATACTATTTTCAAAATCCTTAAAATCATCTTTAGCATATGGATATTTTTGTGACCAGGGTAACTGACAATTCCACAACCTTCAATCTTTAACAATCACTTGTGAGAAGCACTTTGGGAAATTATGTTGATTATGGGCCATTTTCTTAATGCACATAGTGACCACACAGAAAATACAAACCTTTATTACGTTGTGCAATGAAAGCCGATTAATTGCCCTAATTATCAAAAAAATGTAGAATAGATACTTAGCAATTCTTAGATAATAGTTGTGTCTGAAGAAAGTGAAACACTGGTATTTCTACATACAAAGGTATGTGGTTTGCAGCCAACAAATCATACATAAAACCATATATATTCCCCATCTGCTTTGGGTCTGCTCCCCATGGGGTCCATGGCATTAGAAGTATATTGTTAGAATGTACTGTATAAAGATCATTGAAGTCCAGGGGGGATAACCTCCTGGCTGGGGGTTTAGTAGGGTTTGGGGTGAGTCTTACTGTAGAGGTTACCAAAACTAGGACGAGATTTCTGTAGCAATTTTCAAAAGCCGCTGCTTCAGTCTAATCTCTTCCATTTACAATAGGATTATTTTAAGCATATTTGTTATATTTTCATATTTTCTTCCTTCATATTTGTTTAACCTTTGCCATTTTTATTTCACAATTTCCTTTACATATTCCACGTCCTCCCCTATTATCAGGAATTTCAAGCCAAGACGGTTGTCTACGTTTAGTATTGCGCCACTCAAAACTATTAACCCAATGACGCCGGGTGTACAAAAGGAAAATAAAACTCTACGCTCTGGCAAACAAAAGGCGGCGCGCCGGAGTACGGGGCGTCAGCCCGAATCACTGGCTCGCCGCGCTTTGGCGCGCCGCCGGCTGGTTTGGCCGCACGCCACCTTTCGAGCGATTTGTTTACACGCGTATCGCCGTCACCCGGCGGCAAGGGGTTAAAGATTTATAGTAGGAGTTACAAAAAGTATTTAGCACGAGTTGGCTGGTTTATAAAATTTGGACTATCCCTACCTACACCAATGTCATTAATATCTTACATTTACATATGTTCTAGCATAAACCACCAAGACACAACCTGAACTACTTCTTTGTATTCAACTTCATTATTCTATAATCAATCTTTAAAAAGAAAAAAAGAAACAATGAAGCAATTAAATACCATCTTTAATTTTTTTTTCACATCTAAATTACTCAGTAGACTCTAATGCACGAACACTATGCTAATTTCCTTCATTGTTCTGCTTGTTAAAAAAACAAATCCGGAAGATAATTAATTCAGGATCATCAAGATATCATCTACAATAATTGTATATCAAGCCCGATTATCTGTTCCCTAAAAACAAGTAACAGATAAACCGTAAAATAAAATAATAAACAAGGATATTCCGCCTCACCAACAAAATGTCCAAAATCACGGAACCAAAGACGTCAAATCGCGTTGCTGTTTCTGTTGTTTCTCATTTCCTCTTCTCTATTTAAACGACAACACTCAAGTAACAGATGACTTGCTACGTCAAGAGGGGAGAGGTCAGAAGGAAAAAGAACGGGTAGAGGAAAATAGAGAATAAAATGAATAAAATAGTTCCAACCTTCTTGACGGATTTACGTGGCAAGACCTACAAAACAGCTGAC